CCCCGCCGTGGAATAGGACAGCTTGCTTCATTGTCTTCCCTGGCTATCAGACCACCATTCTCTACTCCAACAGAAGTCTAGCCAGATTGTCAACACAGTACCTCTTCAGTGCTACTGTTGCTTTTTTGAAAAAGGGAGTGAACACCCTGGCTTGGGGAAGATTAGGAAGGGAGGGATCTGGGCCTCTTATTTATATACCTAATCCTCACACTAAGCTTTCAGAAGAGTCCCTGGTTTCAGCCCTCCCCCTCACCGACATGGGCCTGTAGCTCTACTCAGCCACTTCTTGGGTTTAGTCTAGGGGCCTGCTGTCCTGGGTACTGATTCCCCTATGCTGCAGCACAGGCCTTGTTGAAGACTCACTTTGGTGTTCTGTAAACTTGCTCCTGAATTATTTCTTAGGTAGTGTTGGCTCCAAACGTTGTGTAAATCTACTCCAGGATTTTATCCTGAGTAGTATGGACAGAGCGGTTGTTTGAAAAGAAAGAGCAGTAAACATTAAGAGCTGTTAGCACCGAAGCACTCCAGAGACCAGTAGCCAACAGAGATCAGCACCGGGTAGAGTCAGACTTTGGTCTCCAGCGCAGACTGGCACTGGAAGGCGTCAGGTGGCAGTGCCAGATACTGTCACCTAGTAGTCAACCCATGGTGTCCAGCACAAGCTGACACTGGAAAGTAGTAGCCAGCATTGGCAGGGCAGGACCCAGCAGATTTGACCTATGAGGGGTTGGCACAGGCCAGCATGGGACGGTGATGACAGGCAGCAGCAGTAACCAGCAGCTTTGTCAGCAGTTGGCACCCATCCAGTGTCATGAGGACTGCAGAGCTGCACTTTGCTGATTTACAGTTTGCATCTGAATTGAGAAAAAAACAAACACCCTTGGATGACTGGCAACAGAAAGGCTTTTTCCCTTCAGCTTGCCAGCATTTGTTGATGATAACCATTCTTTCTGGAGTAAGATGAAAAGTTAGTATGGTTTTAATATGCATTTCTCTTTTGGCCAGAGATATTGACCTTTTATTTCCTGTATTTATTGGTCATTTGTACTTTTGAGAAATGTCTGTTTCAGTTGCTCATTTTCATTGGATCTCTTTTTTGGGGGGGGGTTCTGATTTTTTTAGTTTTTTATATATTCTAGGTATTAATACTCGGCCAACCTGGTCTGTTGTAGCTCCTTTGAGCTGCTGATCCTCTGTGGGCTTACCTTGTGTCAGTGGAAATAGATTCCCCCTCCCCAAAAGCTGTGGTTAGCTTTCCAGACTGCTTTGTTCTTTTCTCTGCATTGTACTCCATTTCTCCAGCTTCTCTGTAGTTTCTAGTTTTCCTATCAGCTCCCTCCTGATTCTCAGAAATCTACTTTTTTTTTTTCATTATGAATTTGTTGTTTTCCAGGTGTCTTGATTTCAGGTGCTGAAGAAGCTTTATTTTACTGCCTATCTTTACTCTACCATTTTTAATTTCATAATGTTTTGAAGGAGCACATCAACATTTATAAGTTGGGCTGGGCCTGGTGGTGCACGCCTGTAATCCCAGCACTCCCAGCACTTAGGAGGCTGAGGCAGGAGTATCACAGTGAGTTTGAGGCCAGCCTGGGCTACATAGTGACTTTAGGGCCAACCTGAACTACAGAGGGAGACCATACCTCAAAAAACAACAAAAAAAGTATAAGTTGGGGTAAGGTGCTGTGGGTGTAACTCAGTTGTCAAGTGCTTGCTTAGCATGCAAATTGTGTCAAAGGATACGTGAATTTTTTTTTGGTACTGGGGATCGAACTCAGGACCTTGCACTTGCAAGGCGGGCACAGTGCCACTGAGCTAAATCCCCAGCCCTGAATAGGTGAATATTTAACTGTTTAAAAAATTGCCAAATTTTACTAAAGTGATTGTGCCATTTTACCCTTCCACAAAAAATGAAAGGAAGTTACGGTTGTCAACAGTTTATATCATTATCAGCCTTTTCTTCCTCTTTGTGGTACCCTTTGTTATTTCTTTATAGTACTTACCTGTTTTGTGTTCCTTTTTGGGGTGGGGGGGGTACCAGGGATTGAACTCAGGGCTTTATGCTTTCGAGGCATGCGGTGACACCACTGAGCTAAATCCCCAGCCCTATACTACTTATCTGATAAACAAGTTTTTAATTTTTCTAAAGCTCAGTTTATGTTTTTCTCTTTAAAGTTACTGCCTTATTTCTCTATTCTAAAAGATCTTTGGCTTACTGAAGGTCATGAAGATAATTCTTCTACATTTTCTTTTAGTGAGATTATATTTTTAGTTTTTACATTAGATCTGTCATTCACTTCAAATTCATTTTTAGCATAGTACAACACAAGTGTCAAGTTTTCATTTTTACCCTCATTGACAACCAGTTGTTCTAGCCACATTGCTGAATAGAGTTCCCTTTCCTCATTAAACTACTTTATTCTCTTTGTTTAAAAGCAGCTGACTTTTTATATTGGTCTAAGTCTTGATTCCGTCTGTTCCACTGATATTTTTTCTATTCTGTTGATGTATTTGCAAAGTCCCGAGTTCGATCCCTGGTACCAAAAAAAAGATTACCTATTCTAAGTCTTGCACATTTCCCGGAAAATTTTAGGTTCAATTTATTAGGTTTTACAAAAAGAGTCTGTTGGATTTTTGGGTAAGAACTGTATTGAATCCAGGTCGTTGGTGACTCTTACTCCAGGAAGTGGTCCTCATAGGGCCTGAACTAAATGCACAGAATACATCCCAGTGTTAAATCCACTCTAGCTTTTCTCACATTCCTGGGATCTCTGGGATCTCTAGTCAGCTCTCACAAGCAGTGACCACTCCGTTAGGCCATGTGAAGTCTGCCCAGTATGTGCACAGTTTGGCTGTTGGCCAAAAAACCAAAGACAATCCTCATGTACACTTTTTGTCCCCTGCTCCTGTCAGTGTAGTTCCTTCTTCTCTGATACCTTGCTCTGTAAATTCCAGTCACTTTGGCACTCCAACCCTCAGCTCAGCTGGATTGTCTGTTCTTCTGGGCCTCTATCTCCCTGCCCTGTAGACAAAAACTGCCATTAGGCAGAAAGCCAGTGATTGTGAGGTTCACCTCATGTATTTCCCTTTTCTCAAACAGGGCAGTGCTGCTCCACTTGTGTTCAGTGCCTAAAAATAGTTTCCTCATATATCTGTCTGCCATTCTAGTCTTTTGTAGTGGGAAGGCAAGTCTAGTACCAGTTATTCTGTCTTGGTTGAATAGAAAATCCTTCTATGTCTTTTTCTTTTTTGCTTCTCACCTTCTTTCACATTACGATTGTCTAAACTTGACACAGAAGTAAGCATATACCTGTTTCTGGAAGAAAGGAAGCTTTTTTAATGTTTTAAAGCTATTCTGTTGATTCTACACGAGCAGTGGAACGGCAGCCCGGAAGCCCCTTCCTCTGGGCTGGGAGTGGTGGAACGGCCCCCAATAGATTTTTTTATGATAAAATAATACCTAAGTTAAAATTTGCCATTTTAACCATTTTTAAGTTTATATCTGATTAGTTTTGAAGTACATTCACATTGTTGTTCATCCATCACCACCATCCATATACAAAACGTTTTCATCTTGGAAAACCTAAACTTTGTATCCAGTAAACATTACACCTCATTTTCTCCAACCCTCAGTCCCTGGTAACTACCAGTCTGCAATCCCTCTCCATGAATGTGACTATTCTAAGAAACACATATGAGTAGAAGCATGTAGTATTTCTCTTTATGTGAGGTCTTTTATTATGAAGTATAATGTCTTCAGGTTTCGCCCATGTTATAACATGTGTCAGAATTTCTTATTTTATGCTGAATAATATTCTATAGTATATACGTAATACATTTTGTTTAATCATCTTTCAAGGGATGCTTGCTTTGCCTCCACCCTTTTGGCTGTTATGAATAATTCTGCTCTGAACATGGTGTATAGTTACCTCTTCAAGACCCTGGTTTCAATACTTTTGGATCTATACAGAGAAATGAAAATGCTAAACTGTATGGAAGTTCTATTTGTGATTTTTTTTTTTTTTTTGAGGACCTTTCATACTTTTTTCCATTGGGGATGCAAGATTTTACATCTCCAGCAGAGTGCAAGACTTTCAGATTTTCCACATCTTCACCAAAACTCGTTTTCATGGTTTTTGATAATAGGCAACTGTTAATCATCTTTTCATGTGCATCCATATTTTTCCATTTTTTGTGTTATTTTAGAGTACATTTTCTGAATATTAGTTCCTTACTATGTATGTAATTTGCAAATCTCCCATTCTGTGGGTTGTCTTTTTCCATGTTAAAATTGGTCTTTGATGCACAAAAGTTAATTTTCTTGAAGTCAGATTTGTCTGTTTTTCTTCTATCATATATGCTTCTCATGTCACATCCAAGAAATCAGTGCAAAACCCAATGTTATGAAGCTTTTCCCCATTTTCCTATAAAAGTTTTATATAGTTTGAAGTTTTTGATTTTAAGTAAATTATAGGTACAATTTAATAATATTTTTAAATTAGTTATGAAAAGCCTGAATTATTTACCTGAATAGGAAATTTTGTGAGTATGTCTGGCTCAGTTTTAAAAAACTTTTTAAATGGAAATTTCCAAATCAATACAGATTTTTTTATATCTAACACTATGCTATTATTGGACCTTTAAAATTAACAAGAATTAATATTATCTAATACCCAGTTAAAGACTGGTTCATTTCTACTCTAGCAAAGTGTAATTCAGAAGATTTGAGACCTCTTTTTTCTGTTAAAATAGAAACTTCTACAAAGATTCCTTAAATAATTTGACCCTAAATTTAACATCTTTCTATACTTAGACATTAGTGTTCACATAGATTCTCATTTTGCCTCTAATCTAAAATCACAGTTAGGTCTAGAATATCTTTCCATGGCTTCAGCTACTAGTAGTCAAATGTGGTCTCAAAATATTAAATGAAAAATTCTAGAAGTAAAAAAATGAGTTTTAAAGTGCATGCCATTCTATGTAGCATTATCAAATCTGTCACTCTTACCCAGATGTTAATCATTCCTTTGTCCTATAGAATGGCACTGTATAATCTGTCTGCTTGTTAGTCACTTAGTAGGCAACTTGGGTAACTGTCACACTATCACAGTGCTTGTTTTCAGCAACCCTTATTTTACTTAATAATGGCTCAAGAGCAAAATAGTAGTGTTCACAATTTGGAAATGCCACAGAGAAGCCATAAAGCGCTTCCTTAAAGTGTGTATGTGAGAGAGAAACTGTATTTATGTAATTTAATTGTTCTGTTTTATTGTTAATTTATTTGCCTAATTTATAAATTAAACTAGCATAGGTATGTATGTATAGGAAGAAACAGTATATATTGTATAGGATTTGGTATTAGCCAGTTTCAGGCATCCACTGAGGGTCTTGGAGTATACCCTTTGGAAAAGGGGGTACTACAGCATGTGCCAAAGAGTACCTCTTTTTGAACAGATGCCTAAGAAACAGTTTATATTGGCACTGGAAAGCAGTCATGAATAGATAGCTAGGGTCTAGAATGAGAAACTATTCTCTCTGTATTGCTTTATACCTTTACCTGTGTTACTGTTTTATGGTTTAAAAATGAATGTATTCTTGACTGTGGTGGTAATAACATGAATCTACCCCACATACACAAATAGTGCATGTAAAACTGGTAAAATCTAACCTGGCTGTGATGGCAAAAACCAGTAATCCCAACTACTCAGGAGTCTGATGTAGGAGGATCATAAATTTGAGGCCAGCTTGGGCAACTGAGGGAAAAAATAGAAAGGGCTGGGGGTATAGTTCAAGGGTAGAGTACCTTCCTAGCCTATATGAGACCCTGGGTTCATTCCCCAGAACTGGAAACAAAGAACAACAACAACAACAACAACAAAAAAAAAACCTGATGAAGTCTAAATAAGTTTCATGAATCATATCAGTATCAGTTCCTAGCTTTGAAATTGTATGGTAGTTATGCAGGACATTAGTATTTGGAGAAAGCAAGTAAAGGATAAATGAGATCTCTGTGTTGTTTCTTAAACAACTGTAAAATAAAAGCCTTTAAAAATAAATTGTGACAGCTGAGCAGAATGGTTTATAATCTCACCTCCTAGGGAGGTTGAGGCAGGAGACTCATAATCAGAGGCCAGCCTGGCAACTTAGTGAGACACTGTCCCAATATGAAAGGGCTGGGGCAATAACAGTGGTGAAGCACTTGCCTACCATGCATGAAACCTTGCATTCAATCACCAGGATTGGGGGTAAAAGTGTCAAAGAGTAAAATGTTGGGCCAGGGATTTAGCTCAGTGGTTCCGCTGCCTGCCTCGCCAAGCACAAGGTCCTGAGTTCGATCTCTGGTACCAAAAAAAAAGTAAAATGTTTAATAAATATTGATTTTTTTTTTTTTTTTTTAAGGAATGTGGTGGACAGTAGCCAACTTTGGTGACATTTCAGGAACTATAGCCATTGAAATGGATAAAGGAACGTACATCCATGCACTTGACAATGGTCTTTTTACACTGGGAGCACCACATAAAGAAGGTTGGTCTTTGGCAGAAATAATGAAAGGGAAAAGACACTTAAAGCACAAATTTTATGATAGTCATGCACTTAGCCCCACTATAATTATGCTGAAGCATGTTCTAAAGGGATGGAACTATTGCATTGGACCCTTCCACTTTTTTCTTTTTTGCATATTTACCAACTCTTGGCAACTCCCTCTTTCTAGTGTAAGCATTTGAAAACACTGTGTCCAGTAACAGAGACCATCTGTGGAGATAGGAAGCAGTATAAATACTGCAATTGAAATAGTAAATGAAAAGAAAACGTGGTGGAATCAGGAATTTAATTCAGACCTTTTGCCAAAACTAGCTTGGGAATGGTTAACAACTGCAAGTTTCCTGGTCCCGAGATCAATCCACAGTACCAAAAAAAAAAAAAAACAATTGGAAGTTTCCTGATTCTGGTTAGCCCACAGGGGAAACACTAATGTATGAAATAAACAGAAAGCAAAAAGCAGTATCATTTGATCACAATGGTCATTCCTTGAATAAATGAAAGCATTTAGTATTTTAAATACTAAGTGCTTATTTATGCCTTGTAGTTAAAACACAAGGAGAAAGTATCTTGGAAGTAACTAAATTATCATCTCAACCTATCTTCTTACCTATGCAGTGATTGAAGATAGTTTATGGAAGGTATTACTCTATGTATACTATATTATAATTGTATCCAAATATCCTAATATTTTTAGATTTATTTTAGAAAACTACATTTTTTAAAGCAAAAAATATCTTTACCTACATATTTATTTTTAAAAATCAAATATTTTTGGTTTTTTTTCCTGCAGTTGATGAAGGTCCTAGTCCTCCAGAGCAGTTTACTGCTGTCAAACTGTCTGATTCCAGGTAAACTTGAGTTTAGCTATAATTAATAACTTTCTTTTTGCTAATTTCATTCATTATAAAATTCTACTAATCAGCTAACTAAAGGCTACATAGTAACTTTAACTTATATGAATTTTCTGAAAGTGAATTCTGTGACATTCAAAAATAGAATACTAATGCCGGGGCCACTGCACCTGGCTTGCAAGAGCAAGGTCCTGAGTTTGATCCCCAGTACCAAAAAAAAAAACCACATTATTTAAATACCCAGTAAATATCTAAGTATTCTTAAGCTAGAATTATACTAACTTTGTGTTTTGAGAGGAGAATTAAACCTCTAACATTTTATATACAGAAAGGTATTAGTAGGACTTTGTATAGTGGCAAAAAAGTAAATTTTAATCTCTAATAGAATACTTATATCTATTGAAAGTAGCATATTTGAAAAGTAATACATTTGGAAAATATTTTCTGTACAGTCCATAATATTAGATACTGTGCAATGTAAGATACAATACAGTATTTATATTAAAAAACAAAATACGGGTCCGGGGATTTAGCTCAGTGGTTCCAGCGCCTGCCTTGCAAGCACAAGGTCCCAAGTTCGATCCCCGGTGCCAAAAAAAAAAAACAAAAACAAAAAAAGAAATTATATATAGAGAACTACAATGTCCACTATGTCAGCAAGCAGCCACATGTAGTTCTCAGAGATTTGGAAAATATCTAGTCCGAATTTTTATATTTTGTAATTTGTATAAAAATATCTGGATATACATGTGTGTATATGCATGCACACACATGCCCTATTTTTAGTTCCATATTTAATTTTTTGCTCAGTTTTTAATACTTGTCCATTTTATTAACTCAAAGAATTGCCCTGAAATCCGGCTATGGAAAATATCTTGGTATCAATTCAGATGGACTTGTTGTTGGGCGTTCGGATGCCATTGGACCAAGAGAACAGTGGGAACCAGTGTTTCAAGATGTAAGTGCTATTATTATTTGTAAGTCTTACGATGAGTGTGAGAAAAATAATTTTTAAAAGACAGGTGCAATAATACACATTGAGTTGAAAAAGATTAGTATGAACTTATGACCTTAAAAATATTCCAGAAAATAGTGCAGGAAAAAGAACAGTAGTACCTTTGCTCACCGTGTTTCTGTGTACATCCTTGGGGGCAGCACATTGACTTTCAGGACTCTTAATAATAGTCAACTTTAAGTCTCAGTGTAGGGAAACAGGATAGTTCGGAATATCTTCTTATTAGCAGAAGACATGAATGTTTTCAAAGACATTGGGGAATATGGTAAATGGACAGGGGAGCAAGCTAAGGCCAAGTTGTGAAAATTTCTGCAGAAATAACAATTAAATTTAGTCTTCTTAGAACTGTAAAAGTCTTCAGTTTATAATGAACCTGAAAAGGAAAAGCACTGCACAAAAATAATTTTAATACAAAAGAAAAATACATTTATTAATTTTAAATAAATAATTACAGTATATGAATGTTTTAAGTCTTTGTTGATACAGAATACATAATTTCCTTTTTCCATTTCTTTAAGCAATAAAGACTAAACAAAAATATAGAAGAACTAAATAGACTCCAAAGAGTTGATACTATATGAAGAACAGTGGTAGGGAACAGCAGTGGGCACCAAGAAGAACCACCACGTGGAGAAGTTCAGTAGATGAGTGACACCAGTGGTTATATACAATAACAAAGTCAAAATAGGATACAACAGCGTTTTCAAGATGATAGGTTAGCCAGACATCCCCTCAAAAGGAAGTCAGGTCAATCCACAGAGAAATGTACTTTTATATTGTAGCACAGTACAAACACACGTGTGCTAAAACACAAGTTTTACTTAAAAATATTTACTTGTTATGGCCTCTGATATTTTCTGTTCCCTTTCACCCCTTTTTCTATGTCAAACTGTCCCCAGTACTTTCAGTGACCACTGAATTGATTCCATGGCCCACTAATGGTTGCAGCCTCTTGTAGATGATCCTATTGCTTATAATGAGTTATTTATAATAAAAATATTCCAGCAGGAAAGGCCAGAATGAATCAGATACTACTAATGAACTTTAGGAAAGTTCAGTTGATTTTATTTTGAGAAAAGACATTAAGTTTCACATAATTTTAAGTTTTTTATTAGTGTATATTTGTGATACATAGTAATTTCATTGATCTTGGGGAATTGGTACATGTTATCTATCGCATTATTCTTCCTTCCCCTGCCCCCACATTCTCTCTCTCTTTCCTCACATCTTCTTCCCATCTCTACAGTCTTAACTCTGAATAATTTAAATTTAAGAAGCACAAGTTAAACTATGTTCTTCATATAGTGTAAAAAGGGACTCAGCTGATCTGCATCACAGGCTTTAATCTCCTTGAAGCCATATCCTGGTGCTCACCGAGAGCCATCTAGGTGACACACAACCCAGACCCTCTCACCCTGAATAAGAAATTAAATAAAGTCTGTACCATTAGCACTTTTTAAACTGAACATTATATGAATTTATTAAAACATTTTGTAATTACTCTATTTGTGAATATTTTGTCTGATGTATAAAGTATTTCAAGAATTTTTTTAAAATACAAAGTCTAATTCAGCCTTAGATTTGTTAAGGAAATTTAATCAAATTTATAATTCAGGTATATAGGTATAAAAAACACTAGTTTTCAAAATTTTGCTTAATAAAAATCAGTATAATACATCAAGCATTAAACAAAAAAAAAATATTCTATACACGAGTCCTTCAAATATTTGGTTCTTAAACTCAGAGGTACCACAGGCTAGTTTTTATATGATATCTTTTTTAAAGTTTCCAGTTATGAATAAAAGGAATTTTACTTAAAACATTAATATTTTAATATGGTATTATAAATTATTCATAACTTTTTGTCTTTAAAGATCATTTTTTTAAACTGATTTTAAAAAGGGATAGGGATGTAGCTGAGTGCTCCCTGAGTTCAGTCCCCACTACTGAAAAAGAAAAGAAATCTTATTTCACTCGTTAGAATTGAGCAATACTAGAATATCCTCAAAATGTTTGTGGTAATCTTTGAGTAGTGATAGTGTAGATGATTTTGGGTTTCTTTTTTATATGTTTTTATATTTTTCAGATTTTTTTCTAAATTCCATTTCTTGATTTAGAATCAATTAAAAAGGAATTTAGTCTAAAGACTTAGTATTTCTTCTGCAGGTATCCTTATAACTTTTTTGTCATGATTTTGTTTTACTTAGGGGAAAATGGCTTTATTGGCCTCAAATAGTTGCTTTATTAGATGCAATGAATCAGGTGATATAGAAGCAAAAAGTAAAACAGCAGGAGAAGAAGAAATGATAAAGGTAATCATAACATTTCTGTATGTATTGATACATGTCATATAGGTGATATGAGTGTGTCTCTGTAAAACATTTGTCCTTTACTATCACTGAGACTTACTGTCTTTTTATATTATGTTCCAAGTAGACTTATTTTTAATTACAAGTTCCATAATTGATGGCTTATTTGTATATGTTTTAAATTACTGCATCTCTGAGCACTTTGCTATTACTTCAATTTGTTAGTATCTTTTTCTGAGTTAGTTCCATGTACTTTTTAGACCTATATTTTCTTTTTTGCCCCTCCTGCATTTAAAAAATTTTAATTTTAAAAATAGATGTGTTCACACAGCACAGAAACTTTAAAAGCATTTAAAGACATACATTTCTTATCCACCTTGTTCACCTGTCTCCATCTATCCTGTCCCCTATCTCTGCTCCTCCCTTTTTTATAGTCTCCTCAAATTTTATTTATAAACACATGAATACGTTTGTAATTTTCTACCTTGAATTTTTTTCCTTAATATTGTATCATGGAAATCTTTCCCGTCAGTATATTTGTAGGAAGTTCTCTCTTTCCTACCCTTTCCCCATCATCCTCTCCTTTCCTTTTCTTTTTCTCTTTTTAACAGCTACATAATGTTCGATTTTAAGAACATACTTTATTTAAATCAATCTCATAAATGGAAATTGGGGTGTTTTCAGCCTTTCATTCTTTTTTTGAGCCTTTTGTTCTTACAAACAGTGTATAGCACTTAACTTTGACTATGCATCATTGTGTAGGTGTTCAAATATATCCAGAGATAAATTCCCAGAAGCATAACAGGGTCAGGAGTCTATGCATCTATAATTATGTTAGAGGGCCGGGGATTTAGCTCAGTGGTTTCGCCGCCTGCTGCGCAAACGCAAGAACCCAAGTTCGATCCCCGGTACCAAAAAAAACAAATTATGTTAGATATCCTAAGTTCCCTTCCATTGAGGTTATACAAAATTATGTTTACACTGACCTATATAAGAAGGTTAGTAGGTTGTTTTGTTTACTACCTGACCACCGTCATGCTAGGCTTACAGGAAAAATGAACATCACAGCAAAACTTTACAGGGCTTTAGCACTCAAATTTTTGTTTGTCTTTATGAATAAGTACATGTCTTTTTTACATGAGGAGAAACATGAAGCACGGGGAAAAAATTATTCACTAAGCTAGAAATGAAATTTTCTTATTCTCTGTTTTACTTGATTGTGAAAGTTACACAGACATCTTCATGTTAAAATGACATTCTAAATAAAATCACATGATAGCTTAGATAAATCAGGTGATTAACTGAAATATGATGTAGCCCCTTAAGCCTTTTTTTTCAACTTACAAAATGCACTAGATCCTTAATGACCGTACACTAAAGTGTGTCTAAAGAATAACTATCACATTCTTGTTGCATTACCTTTTTTACTCTTGGCATTCCATTCCAGTACGGAACCTGCCATAATTTGTTCAGAATCATAGGTTGCAGCTAGTCTCATCCTGATTTGCTGTGTTCAGTGCATTGGGAAAGGCTAGAGTCGAAGGCTCTTAGAGGTGGCGGGGGGGGGGGTGCCTTTTCTAAAATATCTTTAATTCTTATAAAGCATAAAAAAATATACATTTTCTTTACTACCAGCCTAATTTACAAGTACCTACCAAATTCCTGTATATGCTTTATTAAATTCCTTGTCATATATTTGCTTTCTTAAGATGTTCTTTGCATAGTAGTTCATTTTATAATATTTTAGTATTCTTTTTTCTTGAAAAACATTGCTGATATTTACAAGCAAGAATGATAATTACATTAACTCTGTTTGACCCATTGGATTTGGCTGATATAAAAATACCTCCCTAGAATATAGAATAGGAACTAGAAAATTTACTGCATTTCTTATAGTTTTACAAAAGGCCTTTTGACTGTCAAAAGTCTCAAGTTTAACTTAAGACATAGGTATTTTACTTTGAAAACTGAAGTGTTAGTGTAATATTTTTCAATTACATAAACATAAAACAAAACTAAGTAGTTGAGCACTCTGCTGAATTTGGTACATGCATTGTCACCTTTCATCTGCATAGCACTCTTGTGAAGTGGCTGTTATCTTAACTTCACAGAAAAGGAAATAGCCTTCAGTCCTAATACATCACTACCTTTCACTTCATGAAAGTCACACAGCTAAATATGGAAAGACAGAATCTATACACAGGCTCAGCTGACTGATTCCAAAAGCTACTCCTACCTTCTGTAACACACTGCTTTGTAGAGACAGCCCGTTAGGAAAATGGTGATGGATTTCTCATTTACCTATATTTGATTTTTATTGATACTCAGTTTTATTGTATCATGCTAACATTTTATCTGCATTTTGTTATAAAGCTGTTAAAAACAATACAAATATTTGTACAATGCTGTGTATTTTATAGAGAAATACATCCCATTGTGTTTATGAAAGTAGTTCTCAAATGAAGTACCATGCAATTTCTCTAGGTCTCATTGGTTAGTCAAGTACAGTACTTGCAAACTCTGAGCGATTATTATCCAGGACTCTTTCCCCTGGCCAGTTACATTACAGGCTCTGCTATGCCATGTCAATCATCCACCTTTATGACATGTCCTTGTCCACTAGAACACAGATCTCTCCTGCCTACAGTAGTCTTCTAACCAAAATTGTTACACACACATCATTTGCACAACTATATTGCTCATCATCACTTTCTAAGCAATCTCAGCATTGGACTCTGGACCACAGGGATCCACTTTGAAGACATGGATCCTTTGAGCTGCAGATTGTTAGATCCGTGGGTGATCCTAATTTCTATACCTGAATCAGTTAATTTTTAGCATGGTAGTAAATATCTGTCCATCCTTGTAAGGATATAAAGAGGACTTAAAAGGGGTGGATTCAAATTCAGTAAAAACAAATTGTGTTATGGTTAAAGTTTTAAGATGTTCAGAAATAGTCTGTGCTAAGTAAAATAGCTACTGTCTTAAGCTGTACATCTAATGAAAGTCACAGGCTGCCAGGGAAAATTTGATCCCAGTGTATTTAGTTTGAAGCCAAAATTAAACTAAAGTATTGCTTAATTGCTCAGTAGGATATGATTTATAAAATATTTTAAAATAATTTTTTTAATGTGTCTGGCACAAGGACTGTTTTAGAGAAGTGTAGAATGGCAATTACTTACATTAATTATATATATGAAATATCAGACACATATCAAGAGTAAGAAAGTGGGAGAAAATAAATATATCACCTGTTGTGTTCTCATCTCCAATATCCAGATTAGATCCTGTGCTGAAAGGGAAACCAAGAAAAAAGATGACATTCCAGAAGAAGACAAAGGGAATGTAAAACAGTGTGAAATCAACTACGTGTATGTATTCTTTTAAACTCACATATCTGATGGTAAACTGCTTAAGACACTTTTATACTAAAATACTTGAAGGACAAGAAGGAGCAGCATATTGTAGATTCTAGGACACAGAATTCAGTTGAACGCTTTTTTGTTGTTGTTACTGGGGATTGAACTCAGGACCTTGCACTTGCGAGTCAGGTGGCAGCACCACTGAGCTGATTGAGTCCCTGACCCAAGTTGAACGCTTTTCTTAAGGCTTCAGTTTTTCTATTATCCTGCTGGTTCTCAAAGCTGAAGTCACTTGGTTACTCATTGCTTCCTGTTCCCTTTTTTTTTTTCTTGTTCTTTTTCTTTTTTTACTGGAGATTGAACCCAGGGCTGTCACACTGACATACATCCCCAGCCCTTTTTGTTTTTTATTTTTAGACAGGGTCTTGCTAATTTGCCCAGATTTGCAGTCCTCCTGCCTCAGCTTCCCAATGTGCTAGAATTATAGGCATGTACCACCAAACCTGGCACCCTCATGCCTAAGAGAATTGCTGTAATCCTGTCCAGTCACCATTCATGTTCAGAACATTGGACGCCAACCCATATGCTGTGGTAGAAGGGAGCTTTGCAGAGCTATCCAAACAACATCCTTCATGATGGTAGATCCTAAATGTCACCTTTCTAGCTAAAAAGTTATTAAAGAAATACAATTAGATTTTTTAAATAAGTGGGGAAAAAACTTTAATAATATTTTTACTATTGAGATTTTTTTCAACAAAGATATTTTCTTTACAGAAAAAAATTTCAGAGCTTCCAAGACCATAAACTTAAAATCAGTAAAGAAGACAGTAAAATTCTTAAAAAGGCTCGGAAAGATGGATTTTTGCATGAGACTCTTCTGGACAGGTAAATACAAATTTACAGTTTTCTAACAGCTTCAAGTAGCCAAGAGGTACATGGATAAACCCATGTTCTTTTTGAAGTACTATAATTTTCAAATTTTGTTTTTATTTCTAGTTTATATATGTGGCAAAATTACCAGGAGAGAACATTAATAAGTCTGGGAAAAGATTCCCGAAAAAGAATATCTAAAATTTAGAACCATTGTTTTAAGTACTTCTGTACTTTATTGTAAGAAATTAGGCTTTGGGTGAAAGAATTTCATAAACTTATTTTCATAACCTTTTTCTCTTTTTGTTTTTTTTGTTTGTTTGTTTTGCTTTTTGAGACAGGGTCTCACTGTGTAGTTTAGGCTAGCCTTGAACTCACTATGTAGCCCAGGCTGGCCTTGAACTTGTGGTGATCCTCCTGCCTCAGCCTCCCAAGTGCTGGGATTATAGGCATGCACCACCATGCCTAGCTATTTTTATAACTATTGGAACCAGAGTTAGAAAGTTGTTTGAATAATATCAAAATTCTATGGGTTCTATTAGAGTTCTTAAAATTAGATAAATTTGTAAAATGACCAAATTTAAAAGTTAAATAAGTGCCGGGCATGGTCATACATCCCTGTAGGCAGGAAGATCTCTGAGAATTGGAGGCCAGCCTGTACTATGTAGTGAGTTCAAGGCCAGCCTGACTACATAGCAAGAACCTGTCTCAAAAAACAAAAAAAAGTTTAATTAGTGAAATTGAATCAGTTTAATTAGGTTCAGAAGTGTGCAGGAATATTTATCATAGCACATTATTAATATTTGTTCATTTTTATTTCTGTGGTGATGAACCTATGGCATGCATGCCACAACAGGCTATTTGTGTTGTTGAAAGCTCTAAAAGGTTCTCTATCACTGTCCTAAATTAATAATTTATAAAATAGCCAGAGGCTTAGCTGTGTGCTTACATCTATAAATCACGTAAGTGCCAGATTAAGAGTACCTTTCTGCTACTCATTCATATCCTGTGTTGCAAAATTACTCTTAACCTTTCTTTACATAATCAGATAAAGACATACTTAGTCATATTATTCCTGAACTAGTTGATGGATTTCTTACCGGAAATCAGTAAATAATGTAAGAATTTTTTCCAACTGAGTATATAATCTAATGGGAAATAAAAAAGGATATAAAATACAATCAGGACATGAACTCTAAAATAGAACAAGCTGTTTGTCCTGTAACTTTAGCATTGTAAAAATACAGCATTTCTACCAACTAGCAATTTAGGGTAGGCTTAAATTCACAAGGAATTAATTTTAAATTGCTGTTGTGAATTGAAAAAGCCCTTAGGAAACATTTGTTAATATTAAGGAAAAAAATTTTTAAGACTACAATCCATTTTGTATAAAAAGAAAGTTGAAAAGTGTAATGTATTGTGACAATACAAAAATTAAACACAGTTTCTAAGTATGAATTTTATATTTGGTAGCAGTTGACTATATATATATATATATATGGTATGTCTCACACTGATTACTTTTTATTTGTCTTAAACAGGAGAGCCAAGTTGAAAGCTGATAGATACTGCAAATGACCAGGACTTTTTTTTGTTTCTTCCTACTCCTTTTGTTTTCTGTGAATAAAATATGCAGTGATAGTGCTTTTGTAGAGTTCTTGGGCTGTTGTGGAATTATTGATTAATTAGTATACAGTTTCAACAAGATCAATTTTGTTTAAGATTCTTCATGGATGTACTTTATAAAGGAAGTATTTCATATGGAAATACTTCCATATGCAGTTCACACGTGAAGTACTACAGAATTTTTTTTCTGGATTAACTCATAAAGCATTAAGTACTATTATAAAAAACTTGTTTCCTATGCTACTTGTGGAATGTTGTATTGATTTATTATCTGTATACTTGATATGATAGATACTTAATCATTACCTATAGAATGAAGTTAGAAACTTGTCAGTCTAATCAACCAGCAAGGTTTTTAGTGGTGTTCTTCAGTTCTTCTTTGTAGCCTGGATATAGAACCCAGGGCCTTGCACATGCTAGCCAAGTGCTCAATCACTGAACTCCACTGTCTGGCGGCCTTTAATTCACTCTTATATACTGCCAAGACAGTTCAGATATCAAAACAGTTGGGCAGACAAAGGAATCATCTTTTAGGCAGTAGGGTGGAAAGTGGTACAATCACTGAAGGGCAGATAAGCTTAGAAGAGAGGCCAAAAGAGTAACATTCGGGAAATCCCTTATGAACAGTTTAGCCACAGTGGATATGTATATATAATGCTTTCCTCCTGACTTGTGGAATGGAAAGCTACTGAGGAGGTTCAGACGCTAAGTGTTGCCAAGGTCTGTATTTCTGAATTCCTAAACATAGTATTGTGGATATCATTTTAATTTCAGTGAATGTTCCAAATCCAGGTTGTATATAAAATGCCTGGATTCCATGGGAAATTCTGATTCAAGAATGAAATTGGCAGAGTGTAAACCATATGAAGTTGCCATCTGTGTTTTTAAAAGTCTTTGTTGAATCTTATGCACAAGGAGGATTTAGACCTGGCCCAACCTGCCAGACCCTGTCTAGTGCTAGCCTTTATAATCTCACCAAATGCAGAGTTAAATGGCCCCTCTACAAGCAAAGTAGCTAGGTTACTAGTGTCCATTTTATACAGCAGTTCTTCCTGGAGGTCTGGCTGTAACTTAACATTCTGTTCTAATAGACATTCCTGTATGTTATATTTTCCTTCTGTTTCTGATCTTTAGATTGGGACCATGCTTACTACTAAAATCCCCCAAAGCAGCAGTTCTTGCTCTTAATCTGGGGCTACTTTCCCCCATAGGGGACATATTTCAAGGTCTGGATGCATTTTTTGAGACATTTAAGACAATGGAAAGAGGTTGGGGATGTTGTTCAACATCCTACCATGCACAGGATAGCCTTTTACAACTAGGAATTGTCCAGCCCAAAATGCCAGTAGTTTCCAGAATGTGAAACCTATCCTAGGGCTTGATCTGTTCCTTGCTTTTGTCAGCTCATTTCTAAAAAAAAATAGTTGAAGTTATATCCATAAGAACCACTTGGGGCACCTGTGGATTTCCAGGATGTATTCTTAAAGATGCAAGCTTAGCATGTCTGGGGTGGGGCTTTAAATTTTGCATTTTAACAGGTACTCCAGGTAGGGGCTGGGGATTTAGCTCACTGGTTCCACTGCCTACCTTACAAGTACAAAGTCCTGAGTTCGATCCCTGGTACCAAAAAAAACACAAGTACTCCAGGTAATTTTGAAGCAAGTGATAACCATACTTTGATGAACAGTGCCTTTGAGGGATTAAATCTTTAGAGCTTGTTTGGAGGTTCTAACAGTGGAGCACAGCTACTCATATACCCTTGACCGAGGAAATGGTCCTCTATCCGGGGTGGTCGTCCACTTCCACTGAGTGCGCAGCTTCAGGAGGGTGCACATGGAGTAGTAAGGGAGGAAGGGGACACCCGCCTAGCCAGCCAGATCAGCCAAATTAACCCTGGTGATCAGTGGGGTGACAGATGTCTCAGCCAGATTGCCCTCACATCCAGGGGGATTAAATCTTGATTCCAGTTGTTAACTTATCACCTGAGACCATCTGCTCACTGACTGATTTAAACTGTCTGCCTGCATTTCTGAACATACTATGTTCCTCACTTTACTGACCTTCATATTCCTCTAGTTCCTGCCCTTGTCCCAATAATCAAGACTAATTACAGGTTTTGACTAGAAAATAAAGATTAAAGATGCATTGCCTTCCTTCATAAGTTTATACAACAATGAAGGACAAGTACAGGGAGAGAGTTGATAGGTGTTCTTCCGGTTTCTCCCATGACAGTTTATATCAATACAGTCTGAGCACTGGAGTGGTAGAATGACAGGTTAAGAATGAATGCATCGGGCCGGGGATTTCCCAAGTTTGATCCCCGGTACCAAAAAGAAAAGAAAAGAATGAATGCATCTTTGGCAGAGGATGTAGCTCAGTGCTAGAGTAGTTGCCTAGCATGCATGAGGCTCAGGGTTTGATCCCCAGCACTGAAAAAGACATCTAAGGATTGTCATGTAGTCTAAATTTTTCCATCTTGTATATAATACGGAAATTTTTTTTTAAAGCACTACTGGAATCCAGATATGTTTATGCCTCTGACCTACTAACCTAGTAACATAAAAAATAAGATATAAAAGTGCTAACCCAAGAGAAAATGCTCATATTTCTCAGATTAGGTCATTTCAGTTGTTCCGTCTTCAAGTTCACTGACACCCCATCTCCACTGTTAAACATATATGACAATTTTAAAAAAAAAATTTATACATTGTATTTTTGCACTTTTAGATTTCCATCTGAGTTAATTTGGGGTTGGTTTTCACTGACTGCTTTGAGTATGTTTATTCATATTTATAATTGGACTATATCCTGAACATGATAGAAAGTGTAGATCTTGTTCCTCTGAAGGATTTTAATTTTTTTGTTTAGTAGGGAGTTAACTTGGTTGAACTCAAGCTCCAAAGTCAGTCTCCTTGCATTGTGCAGTAGATGAAGTCTATCATCGGCTCTTGTGGTTTTAGCTGGGCCCTTGAAGTCAGCAAAACCGTGTCAAGCTTAAGGATCACTGAGAATTGGGCAATGTGGATTCCTTGTGGAGGCTTTCTCCTTGAGGACTTCCTCTTCAGGTTCCAGATTCTTTGGTCACTCTGAACTTTGTCCTTTTTTTTTTTTTTTTTTTTCCTGGTACCGGGGATTGAACTTGGGTCCTTGCACTTACGCAGCAGGCGGCGAAACCACTGAGCTAAAACCCCGGCCCTGTCCTCTTGATTCCTCAGCTAGTAAGACCTGGGTTTTTACATAATTTCATGACTCAGTGGCACTGTGTGGGGCTTGCCCTAAGATTTTAAAAATACAATTCCCTCTTAACAGAGTTAATGCCCCTGTTCTGTCAGACTCCTTTGGATCACTTTCTATTAGCTTTTAATCAGTTCAAAAATATTTAGTCCAAAGTTTTTTGGGTTTTTTTTTTTTGTAAGAGTTAAACCTAAAAAGCTACTTTGCTGTAACCTATGCTCTTGATTCCTTAATCTCTCTTCTCCAGATTAAGCATCTGTGCTTTTCTAGATATACATACAAAACTCTGATATCCTAAATCAAGTAAATCAAGAAATCATTAATTACATACATTCATACATCTTAAAATATGCCTGAACCTATAAAAGAGACTCAAAACCAAATGACCATTATCTTCCTAAATACAGTGTAGCAATCCTGAGTCAGATCTAGTATAGGCTGATCAGTCCATAGGTTATTTTCAGCTCACTCTTAGAGTAACTATAAGGTTATTCTAATTTCTTATGACTGAAAAAATATGCGAGCTTAATATATTGTATTTACAAAATTAATAATGACATGATAGTGTTTATAATGAGATGAGAAATCTCAAAACTGGCTTTCCTCGCAACACTGTTCTTTTATGGTATTGTTATAATAATAGTTGAGAAGCTCAATGTATGTAAGTTCCATAATTTCTTTAAACTTGCTAATGTTGAAATCCATTTCATTCAGTGAAAAGATTAGAAACAAAATGAAAAGAATCATTCCATACATTTATGCCCCTTTCTCCACCCACCTATCTTTCAGCTTTTTTAAAAGTGCATATTTCATTATGAGAGCTTGATGGTATTAAAGCAGATTATGATTTTTGACATTTCTTGTTCTGTGCTTGACAGAAATCTCTAGCACTATTTGGTATAGAGTATTTCTGTTTTATGTCAATGGAATGCTCTTAAATTTTACTGAGGCTTTTTATGATAGAAGAAAAGTAAGCCTTTCCATTTAGCCTTGTGTTTCAAACTGCTTCCTAATCAAGTTTTGTTTTCAGAGTGTGAAGTAATGACTTACAGATTAACATCTGCAGGTAGGTGGCTGTTTTTTGTACACAGTGTTTGCACATCATAATAAGGTTTTGCAATCTTGTTCTGAGTGCTACTAGAGAAGAAGGGATATAGCACTACTTGCTTATGTCTTTATTTTTCTATCCTATAGTTCTCTGATTCCTGTCCTTGGTAATCAGTGAACTCTAAGAAAACATACCTCTTTATTCCAGTCAGTTCTTGACTTCTAACCTTAGTTCCCCAAATACTGTCTGGCAAAGTTAAGCTGATTTAATTACACAGCTGATTGTGACTAGGTAGCTGCAGTCAATCACATTCTGTATTATCCCCTTATGCTTTTGTCACTAAGTTATTCTTATGTCACTGCTAAATATATTCTATGATTCTTTTGGGGTGTTTTTTAATACCAGAAAAAAAATCCAAGGATATACTGAGCCTCAGGAGAATCTAAAATTAATAGTTTAGCAGACCACAAGTGCTCATTCAGTGTTAGGCTTTTGTGTATGTAAACTGCTAAAGCATAACAACTTGTTTCGAATAATCAGTTGACCTTAGACCAACCTAGGCTTTTTTATTTATTCATTTTTTGTCTAATTTTGTTTTTATGGTGATGCAGATTGAACTCAGGGCCTTTGGTCCATGTTAGGCAAGCCCTTACACCACTGAGCCATGTCTCCCACCCAATCAGCCTTTTCTTTAGCTCCTCAGACCCATAAATTCTACTTTAAGTTATCTTTAAAGCAGAGCAGCAGCAGTTGTTTGTTCTTTAGGAAAATAATTGCCCATACATGCCTTCATATTCCTCTGCTCTTTATTTTTAGCCCAAAAGTCTTAAAGACCTATATATTCCACTGCTGCCTGTTCAGCATCTTCTTCCTGTCCATTTACTATGACCTACTTTTCATTGTCCATGTTTCTTTTACTACCACAATCTCATTCCATACCAATGTGCTTCTTCAAC